AGCAGTATAGTGCAACAGTTACAGTACAATCAGGGGCGTTCCCTCCGAGGAGGCAAGGGGGGCAGTGTCTCCTCAAAAAATTGGATGACAAAATAATAGATATTACAAACATAAAACGAAAATATTACTAAATATGGCATTAAAAGTATAAAAGTCGCTCGTTTTTATAAAGTAACACTGTCCAACAGCGACACCTGCAGCTAAAGTTACAGCGGAGGCTTGCCTCCATTCAGTCCGTAGACTTTCAGCAGAGACCCCTTAGCTGCCGTGACTTTACTGGGTTGTAATTGAGAATGAATGGGGGAAAGTCACTTGAGAGGAGGCAATACTTCCATCGTGATATGATTGGATATGAACGGTTATGATTGAATGTGATTGGTTCATGCGATAAATCCCGCCTCTTGTTTTCGTGCGAGCTCTTGGCCTGAGTGAAGAAAATGATGGCGTTATTGACTAAATATAAAGTAAGTAAACAACTCTCCTGCTTAGATACCACTACTTTGTGTCACGTCAAAATAAAACTTGAAATGGTCTGAAAACGTGATGACTGCTTCAGTTTTTAGTGAGCATTCAGCATGATGAAATGAAAGATATATCTTCATGTCTGTGGCAGTGTTTACAGTGCTTTTATGACACTGACCCGAAAATAAGTTGACTATTAAAAAGAACAGCTGAACATCAGTTCACAAATAAAAAATATTGGTAACATTTTACAATAAGATGTAATTTAATGTGTTAACTAACATGAACAAACATTTATTACAGTATTAATTAATCTTTGTTTACATTAGTTAATACAAATACTGTTGTTAAATGGTTAGTTCATGTGAGTTCACAGTGCATAAACTAATGTTAACAAACGCAACTTTTTATTTTAATAGTGCATTAGTAAATGTTGAAATTAATATTAACTAAGATTAATAAATGCTGTAGAAGTAGGCTATTGTTTATTCTTAGTTCATGTTAACTAAAGTAGTTAACTAATGAAACAATATTGTAAATTGTTTCCAAAATAGTGTTTAAATTGTTACTGCCTTTAGTTATTATTTTTGAATAAATATAAAAATGCATAAAAACACTATGAAATATATAATTAGTATTAAAAATATTAAATAAAATACAAAATAATATTAATAAAATACAAAATATAATTATTTTTGTTCTCTTTTATTATTTTGGAATAAATATAAAAATGCATAAAACACTATGAAATGTTATTAAATTAAATAAAAAATAATATTAATAAAATACAAAATAGAATTATATGTGTTCTCTTTTTTATTTTAATTCTTTTGTGTGAGTATTCATTAGAGATGCACGTAGTATTTGACTGATAAATCATTAAATAGAATATCTATCACTTTATAAAAGAAAACACACTTTTCAAATCAGATATTTTTATTGAAGAGATGGAGATGAATAGTGTTACATTGTTTCAATAACAAACCTTTATAACAGACGACTATTAATTATTGATTTTAGCTGTTTTTCTCTTTCTCTCTGCAGGCTGTGGAGTGGCAGTATTGGAGACGAAGGATGTGCTGCTCTGATTTCAGCTCTGAGATCAAACCCCTCACACCTGACAGAACTGAATCTGAGCGATAATAAACCAGGAGATTCAGGAGTGAAGCTGCTCTCTGCTCTACTGGAGGATCCACACTGTAAACTGCAGAAACTACAGTAAGTTATAGAGTCAATGCTTTCATTTATTATCTTGTATTAAAGCAGATCTGAGTGTATTTTATCTTTCTCTGTATTGTACAGTATTTGACAGTGGAAACTCCACAAGCTCCAAACAAGTGAATCAAAACAACACGTCCTGAACAAGACTGTCACCTGGACAAATACTGATACTGATCCAGCAGTTTCACATGTGAATTATTTTTCTTATTAATATTCAGTTAGCCTAATTTTTTTCCAGTCTCATGGGAACATTTTTTTAAATAAGTAGATTATAAATACTAACTGCACTGTGAAAATGTTAGGGTGAAATGACAGTATATTCCAGGTTAATAATTGCATGATTTTCACAGTAGTTTCACAGTGGGACTTCTCTTGTATCTAACTGCACTCTCAGAAATTACTTTAAACAAACAGCTTCATAATGTGTTTCTACAGTGCAGATGTACTATGAAGGTTCCCAGCATGCAATGCAGCATGAATAGATCGTGCTGTAGAGTTGGTTTTATTTGTGCTAATGAACTTGTTTTTAGTTCACTTTTAGCAGTTTTTGTTGTTGGTTTATTTTGTAATGTTGGTTTACGTTGTAAGTGTTGTGTTTATTTGTTGAGTGTTACCATTGTTGTGTTTTGTATGTTGAGTATTAATGTCACATCTTTCAGAGACGTTTCTCAGCAGTTGCTTCACTATTGTGAAAGATCCATCCACAAACAGTTATGAACATGAAATAAGTTATTGGTTAATCTTCTTGTTTAAATCATGCTAAAATAAAATCTTCATGTTTATGTGAAGAATTGTTTGACTATCCTAAAGTTAGTATAATAATTTATTTCATATTCTAGGTTGTCATCGTTTTAACAAATGTTTTCATTTGTCACACTTCTGACATGATTAGATCATAAATATGAATATGAATATGCAAGGTCAAAGAGCACAAACAAATGGCATCATCAATCACCATTATGGTGACTTCAAAACAATTACAGTAAACAAGTACATTTCTCACAGTGGCACAGTTAAAGACAACATTATAATGTGAATTCACAGTCAAACAAGAGCAGTAAATTACTGTGATTTGTAAGAAAATTACCCAGCATGCTTTGATTTCAGAGTACATTTCTGACTACATTAATATATTGTAAAACAATACTCTTTAATCCTGTAAATTCCTGGCAATTTTTACAGTGAAGATAGATAGATAGATAGATATACTTTGTATGTTTTAGGATTTTGTATATTGTGATTATGTAGTTGTAATGAAAAAACTTAAAATATTCAATTAATTATTTTTTTTTATTATTAAAAATGTATTCATTAAATTTAATTCTAAACATAGTATGTGACAATGTGTTATAGTTTAAGTCCTAATGCAGCCTTAAGAGGGAGCTCATGAGAGAAGATGTCACAGTTTACCAGCAGAGCGCTAGAGTCTCAAGGAGAGAGTTTGACATAAAACATACTGTAATAAATCAATTAAATTAAATGTGTAAAATATGAATGATTTTAAAATAGATCTAACAATGACCCCTCTGGGATTTCACAAATCTTGGTAAATCTTTGCTTTTAATATTTATTGCCAAGCTTTCTTCCAATGTATATTATTCGATAAGAAACTCATTATTCAGTTTTTCTTTTGGGGTAACCTTTTTTGTGATGGAAATAAAAAATACTGTGTAATATATTATGAAAAGCACAATGTAGTTTTGTTTTGTTTTTTTCTGTGTTAAATAGTTTTGGTGTCTACACATTAAAGTAAGCCCAGAGGATTACACTTACAAAATAAATATTCATAAATACTAAGAAATACTTCAGTTGTTTCAAGCCTCAGGCTAAATTAACAGCTGCAACTATTTTTCCCATGGTCATGCCATTTCCCTAGAAAATACATTTGTTGTTTATGATAATCAGTTTATTGCCAAAGCATGGCATTTCAGGATACAAGCAACAGTATTCAGCAATATCCAATATCTTATGCTTATTTGAAGGGACATGTCTTCCCTTTTTATTCTTCACCTATTCACCTGTCATGTAATAAACAAACACAAACATGTTTGGTGTCTACTGAGAAGCATCACAGATCAGAATCTTTGTGAAAATAATGACTTACAATTGTGAGTCAGTACTATTAATACAAAGCAGGGCTGCTAATGGGTGCCCTAAGCAGGATTGTATTGTCGTGCCCCCCTCCCTCAGATATTATGGAAGTAAAAAAAAAAACAAATAAACACCTACTATAGGGGTCAAAATAGAACTTTAATAAAATATAAAAGTAAATAAATAAATTTTATTATTTACAAATTACAAATCTAGGCAGTTACATATGGCTATGAATTTATTAATACAGTTGTCTGATTGATTTTATAGCCTCAAGCATTCAGAAATCATGCAAAAGAAAATGAAGCAGTTTTACTACGACCTATCATTATTGCCTCATTGTTTTTATATAATGCATTTTAAGTCTTTTAAAAGGCTATTGTTGGCTTAGGTCTGTTTTTATAACCACAAAAAAATTATCATCTTAATACTTCTTTGTAAATTATTATTTGAAGTAACAAAATGTACTCGGTTACTAATGTAACCTCGGTTCCCTGAGATACGGGAACGAGTACTGCATCTTACTTCTTTGTAAATTATTATTTGAAGTAACAAAATGTACTCGGTTACTAATGTAACCTCGGTTCCCTGAGATACGGGAACGAGTACTGCGTCTTGTCTTAAGATGTTATGGGAAAAAGCCTTTTTTCTCCTGAACTGAAGCCTTTTTTTCAATCGCAGTGAAACTGCACAACCATTGGTTCGTGCAGTGTATTAAAAAACGAACCAATGGGTTGGCAGCAATGCTGCACAAGCCTATGGCGACAAAGCGTGCCAAAGCCCATCAGAATGGGCGGAACCATCTGGCTATATAAGCGGGCATTCGCCACAGGATTCTCAGGTTACTTCAACTGAAGCGACGACTGAGTAATACTCGTTCCCGTATCTCAGGGAACCGAGGTTACATTAGTAACCGAGTACGTTCCCTGTCGATACTACACTCGTACTGCATCTTGTCTTAAGACGCTATGGGAACCCAGTACAATCACGCCGTGCTATCGTAGAGGAACGACTTAATATTATAACCTCCATAAGCAAGGATGCTCATAGCAAAGTTAATAATAAATTCCAAGGCTAGAATGGGCTGAACTCACTGAGGTCACACCCGGCCTGGGTAATCGTTCCAAGGCACTTGTACAACCTCGGCGCCCCAGGGGCCGAGAATCAACAAGTAACTAACTTAAGAGTTTGAGCTTGTCACGGTCAAAGACTCTCTGTTAGGACTGATTGTATAATGCAGCGAGTGTCTCCTTAAGCAGAAAGGACCCTGGCTTGCAAGGTCGGGACTTCTAGGTTATAGAACCTAGCAAATGTGGACGGCCTTTCAAATCCCTCAGTATAGTAGGCAAATCCCATGTAGGGATAGTGAGGGGGCGAGGCGGATTCAGTCTCCTGGCCGCTCTCAGGAAGCGGACAACTGAGTTGTTCCTGCACACTGACTGGCCCGCTATAGGGACATGTGAGGCCGCTATAGCTGCTACATACACTTTGAGCGTGGATGGGGAGCGTCCCTTATCCAGCAGCTCTTGTAAGAATGATAGAACCACTGACAGGTCAGAGGTAAATGGGTCTTCGCCGCGGTTTGAGCACCAAGCGGAGAAAACCGACCACTTAAGGGCATAGAGGCATCTTGTAGACGGGGCTCTAGCTTCCGAAATAGTGTTTCAAACTCGCTCTGGGAGGCCTGTAGGCTCCCGTTGAGCGGCCAGAGGTGCAAGGCCCACAGTTTGGGCTGAGGGTGCCATATTGTCCCGTTCGCTTGAGAAAGGAGATCCCGTCTCAATGGAGTGGGCCAGGGGGCTGCCACCAGCAGCCATGTCAGCTCTGACAACCAAAGTTGGTTCTTTCAGAGGGGGGCCACCAAGAGGACCCTGTGTCCCTGCTCCTTGATTCGCCTGATTACCTGCGGGATCAGGGCGATTGGGGTAAACGCGCAAAGAAGGAGGTTTGGCCAGTCGTGGGCCAACGCGTCTTTGGTTTTTGAGTAATAAACTGGGCAGTGAGAGTTGTCTTCTGAGGCGAAAAGGTCTATCTCGACCTCGCCAAAGATCTCCCAGATCCTCTGAACTGTCTGCAGATGGAGCATCCACTCCTCTGAGGAAACATTGCTCCGTGATTACATGTCCGATCCCTGGTTCAAAATGCCCGGTATATGCACTGCCTTTAGCGAGCGCAGGTTGAGTTGAGCCCATTCCAGAAGGCGCTCTACCAGAATGAAGAGGCACTTCGAGGAGAGGCCTCCCTAATGATTTATGTACGATACCACAGACATGTTGTCCGAGCGGATTAGCACATGGTGTCCTTTCAGGACTGGCAGGAAGAACTGACAGGCTCGATACACTGCTAGCATTTCCAAGCAGTTGATGTGAAGTCTTTTTTCCGCTTTTGACCAGTGGCCGAAAGTCAGTTTGCCATCGTGCAGTGCCCCCCAACCTCTGTTGGAGGCATCTGTCGTGACAACTTTCCTCCTGTACGCCATACCCATGGCCACGCCCTGTTCCATCCAGCGGGAGTCTTTCCAAGGGGCCAGGTCTGATACACAGGTCTGGCTCACCTTGATATATAGGCGTCCATGACACCATGCATGTGATGGAACCTGTGGATTCAGCCAGTGCTGAAGGGGTCGTATACGAAGCAGGCCCAGCTGAAGTGCTGGTGACACTACAGCCATGAGGCCCAGCATCCTCTGAAACGCCTTGAGAGGGCGAGCGGTCCCTCTTACGAAGGAGGCCACGAGTTTCCGCATGGCCAGAGCACGTTCCGGTGCGACTACAGCTCTCATTTGAGCTGAGTCGAAAACTGCCCCCAGGAACAATATTCGTTGGCTGGGAAGCAGCATGCTCTTGGCGCTCCCAGGTGCTCTAAGTAGCTGTGGAGGAGAGTCCTGTGTGCTACTGATTCTGCCTCTGACTGGGCCAGCACGAGCCACTCGTCGAGGTAATTGAGAATGCGGATTCCCATCTGCCTCAGAGGGGAAAGAGCCACGTCCATGCACTTCGTAATAGTGCGGGGGGCCAGCCCGAAGGGAAGGACCGTGTACTGATAAGCCACTCCCTCGAAGGCGAATCTCAAGAAGCGTCTGTGACGGGGGGCTATTTGGATGTGAAAGTACGCATCTTTCAGGTCCAGAGTAAAGAACCAGTCCCCTGAGCGGATCTGCGAGAGGATCTGTTTCAGTGTAATCATCCTGAACGACCTTTTCATGAGGGCGCGATTCAGGTGTCTGAGATCGAGGATGGACCGGAGGCCACCATCTTTTTTGGGAACGAGGAAGTAAAGGCTGTAGAAGCCTGACTTGCTCTGAGCTGGAGGAACCGATTTTATGGCTCCTTTCGCCAGCAAATTCATCACCTCTGAGCACAGGACGTGGGCGTCCTTGCTTTCTACTGAGGTGGAGACCACGCCGCTGAAGCGTGGGGGTCTTCGAGCGAATTGGAGTGAATAGCCTCGTTCTATTATCTCCATAACCCACTTTGACACTCCGGGGATGGCCTGCCAGGCCTCGGCCCGCGTGGCTAGGGGTTGGATTAGCTCGAGTGACTGGCTGCCCGAAGGCACGGCACTCGTGGGAAATGGAAGAGGATATTTGCTCTCTTTTTGAAATTGTATGTGTTTTATTTTTACCGCTATAACAGCGGTTGGTCGCTTGGGTGCTTGAACGGGCCCAGAATTCGCAACAAACACATTTTCCTCTGCACCCAGGGTTGAACGGGGTGACAGGAGGCTTAAGAGAGGTCGCTTTGGGGGTGGTCCGGCTGCAGCGAGACCTGGCCCCATCCTCTTCCTGTCTCGTGGATCAGAAAGACGCCGGAGGCGCCGGATCCAACGTTACCTTGGGCCGTGGTCCCTGGCGCTTAGGAAAGGGGTAGCGGCAGGCTGCTGAGTCGGCGTAGATTTAGGGTGACTAGGAGCAGCAGCAGTGCTGGAGCGCTTTGGCAGGAAGTGTCGCATGGCCTGGGACGACTTTTGGGAGGCTGTTGGGAGAGATCGGGGCGTCAAGGAAGGGGACCTTATCCGCATCCTTTATTTCCGTTAGAGTTAGCCATAAATGGCGCTCGAGCACCACGAGGCTGGCCATCGATCTCCCAATCGCCTGGGCGGTGGTCTTGGTGGAGCGCAGAGCCAGGTCAGTCGCACTCCTCAGATCCCTGAGAGTCGTGGGGTCCAGGCCAGACTCCTCCGTGGAGGCGAGGATCTTGGGCTGAAAAAGCTGGAGGACCGCCATAGAGTGAAGCGCTGAAGCTGCCTGTCGAATGCTGAAGTGGTCCTACACGGCTTGGATGGATGAGCGACCTTTGCCTTCCATCCGATGGCCGTGGGCGGGCAAAGATGCGCGGTCACTGGTTCGTCCAGGGGAGGCAGCTTCTCGTATCCCTTTTCTTCAGCGCCGTCAATAGAGGTGAGGGTGTGTGAAGCGGAAGTACAGAGGTGGACGGAGTAAGGAGAGCGCCATGACTTGGTGAGCTCGTCGTGGACCTCTGGGAAACATGGAGAGGGACGCTGACGAGGGGCCTGATGACGCCCCGGCAGGAACCACTCGTCCAGACGGCTACGAGAGGGCTCCTCTGGTGGAGACCACTCCAAACCCAGCTCCTCGACTGCCTTCAAGAGGATACAGTGGAGGCGAGGATCTTGGCCTGAAAGACCTGGAGGACTGCCATAGAGTGAAGCGCTGAAGCCGCCTGTCCAGCCGACGAGTAGGCGCATCCTGCGAGTGCTGAAGTTGTCCTACACGGCTTGGATGGATGAGCGACCTTTGCCTTCCATCTGATGGCCGTGGGCGGGCAAAGATGCGCGGTCACTGGCTCGTCCAGGGGAGGCAGCTTCTCGTATCCCTTTTCTTCAGCGCCGTCAATAGAGGTGAGGGCGTATGAAGCGGAAGTAGAGAGGCGGACGGAGTAGGGAGCGCACCATGACTTGGTGAGCTCGTCGTGGACCTCTGGGAAACACGGAGAGGGACGCTGACGAGGGTCCTGATGACGCCCCGGCAGGAACCACTCATCCAGATGGCTACGAGAGGGCTCCTCTGGTGGAGACGACTCCAAAGAGTGAAGCGCTGAAGCCGCCTGTCCAGCCGACGAGTAGGCGCGTCCAGCGAGTGCTGAAGTGGTCCTACTTGGCTTGGATGGATGAGCGACCTTTGCCTTCCATCCGATGGCCGTGGGCGGGCAAAGATGCGCGGTCACTGGCTCGTCCAGGGGAGGCAGCTTCTCGTATCCCTTTTCTTCAGCGCTGTCAATAGAGGTGAGGGCATGTGAAGTGGCAGTACAGAGGCGGACGGAGTAGGGAGCGCACCATGACTTGGTGAGCTCGTCGTGGACCTCTGGGAAACACGGAGAGGGACGCTGACGAGGGTCCTGATGATGCCCCGGCAGGAACCACTCATCCAGATGGCTACGAGAGGGCTCCTCTGGTGGAGACGACTCCAAACCCAGCTCCTCTTCTGCCTTCGAGAGGATATGGAGAAGTTCGGCTTCCATCTCGGTTTTGGTAGCGCTGGGCGCGGACGATGGCAAGGGGGCGGGATCGTTGGCTGAGCACGACAGCTCCTCTGCATCCGAGGCTGCTAATGACATACTGTCATCAGGCAGCTCGTCCTCACTTAACCCGAGCGAGACCAGGTCGCTTGTGCTGGCAGAGGGAAGCTGGTCAGGCTGGGAGAAGAGGACGGGTGAAACCTCTCTCTGTGGCGGGGGGAGCCACGCGGGGTCTGGGGCCGACGTGAGCTCATCCGCAGCCGAACGCTCAAAGCCTCTGCCCCGCTGTTTTTTCCTCACAGGTCCCTGGGAGGAAGAAAACGGGAGGGCGCGAAGGGCGAAGTCGCTCTCTGAAAAGAAAGCGATCCGTGAGCGGAAAGAGGCGAGACTGAAGTTCTCGCAATGGGAACAAATAGCTCCCGTGAGCGCAGCTTCCGCATGGGATTTCCCCAAGCAGGAAACGCACTAATGACATGCTGTCATCAGGCAGCTCGTCCTCACTTAACCCGAACGAGACCAGGTCGCTCGTGCTGGCAGAGGGACGCTGGTCAGGCTGGGAGAAGAGGATGGGTGAAACCTCTCTCTGTGGCGGGGGCGAGTCACGCGGGATCTGGGCCGACGTGAGCTCATCCGCAGCCGAACGCTCAAAGCCTCTGCCCCGCTGTTTTTTCCTCACAGGTCCCTGGGAGGAAGAAAACGGGAGGGCAGGGTTGCTTTCTGAAAAGAAAGCGATCCACGAGCGAAGAGAGGCGAGACTGAAGTTCTCGCAATGAGAACAATCAGCCCCCGTGAGAGCGGCTTCCGCATGGGGTTTCCCCAATCAGGAAACGCACTCCGCATGGCCTCCATCGAACCACAGTAACGGCGAAGCATTTGCAACAACGCCTAATTTGCTCTTTTAGAACACCGGATGGCAGCAGGGGAACAGGACCGGAGCTGCTGCGATGCTGAAGCGAAGAGCAGGTCAAGTCAAGTCAAGTCAAGTTTATTTGTACAGCGCTTTTCACGATACAAATCATTGCAAAGCAACTTTACAGCAAATTAAGTTTCTACAATATTTAGTGGTAGCTTATCAGTGGTGAATGTCAATTAATGTACATATGGCAGAAATGTAAGCTGCTGCGATGCTGAAGCGAAGAGCAGGTCAGCGGAGCAGGAAGGTCTCAGTCCAGCTGCGAGGCGTGTCAACGACGAGAAGGCTTTTCGGGATCAGCGTTGAGCGTAGAGTCGTTGCTGAAGGAGAAGAAATCTGAGAATCCTGTGGCGAAC